AACTCTTGGTTCAGAGATGATATCTTTTATTAGATCAACTAAGAAATCGCAAAAATAAAATTTTTTTTTACTGCATTTCTAACAATAAGAGCCCAATTTTCATTGACCAAGCTTCTGGAAAAATCAGGCTGTTAATGGAAAGGAGGTATTCTGCAGAGTGAATAGAACAACCACTGCCTGGCAGAAAGGAAATTGATGACTTGGCTGTCTGTAAAAGCACCCTGTGGGTCACAAATATCCAGCGCCAAGTCAATAATTTCCCTCTGTGCTGGCTAAAAGTTGATCCATATGCTTTGCATGAATTTTTTTTTTCCAGATGGCATTTGGAATACAAGAGTACAAGAGAGATTTCATTATGTCTAAGAAAAAATGTGTGTGTGATATAGACATATATTTCTCCAAGATGGACACAGCTTTGTGGCACCCAGTTAGTTCTTTACACTGTTGTTATTCTGAAATTCTTTACTGAATTTTCTATGCAGGAATTGGCAACTAAATTAAAAATGACTAGATTGTGACATTAAGAGAAAGTCAGTATTTCCAGATTCTTGGAGAGTTTTCTAACCCCCAAATGAAGTGTTATTTGCAGAAAAACCTTTTTTCCATAATAAGAAATAATTTTACAGAACAGCCTACTTTATAAGGTTTTTAAGAAATAGGGAGACATGAGATTTGCCTTAAAAAAAAATCTCAAAACAAAACCAAAAATCTCCATACTTTCAAAGGAATCCAGAGGAAAGAAGATAAAGAAAATCTTATTATTACTTCTATTTTCTACTCTTTTCTCCTTCTATTATTGTTGTCTGATTTTCTGCTTCTGGACTTCTATGCACAGCCAATATCTACATCAGATAGAGGTGAGAGAGTCATCAGTCAGTGGTCAACTACTGCTGACAGTATGCTGTATGCTGTTTTGCTTTCAAAATGTATTTTTTTTTAAAACAACACAAAGCCTCTCACAAATGTAGATGGAAGGAAAGAGAAATTAAATGAAATTAAATAAATTGAAAAAGAAAAGAGGATTTAAATCTACCTCCAGCAAGACAGACACTGTTCAGTTTGTGGAATGTCCGGGGAGGTTAAAGTCTTCTTCCACATACCTTTGTGTCTTTATGGGACTGATGTCATCTTAGTGTCTATTTCTTCTTTTATGTAGGAATTGACCCATTTGTCCAATGTAGACAGCAGGGGGCACTATAAACAGGTAATGGTATATATGATGTTGGTAAAAGGGCAGGCACCCCAGGTGTTGTTCAGCCCAGCCTTGATGTTGTCTGTATTGATGAGGGGGCACTGCTGGTACCTGGGATAGTTGCAAGGTCTGTTGGCTTGGTAAGATAAGGATTTATGTAGTCTGCTGCTAGAGATGCCATTTGAGGTTCGGGCAATGCCTGTAAGCCAGGACAAGCATATCCCCTTCCACCCCCCAGGCTGCCTTGAGATGGCTGTTGTTTGCCAGGAAAGGCTGGAAGTCATTACTGATGTATCCAAGGTGTTCAAACTGGGAGCTGTAGGTGACAAGTATAGGGATTCTGTCATGCTTGTCATGGAATTGGCATTGTGATAGGTTGAAGGGGACTCCATTGATCTGAGTAGCTACTTTTTTGGGATTGTGTTGTAAATGTAGGAATCCCTGCTCCAGATCCTTAAGGCATGTATCCTGATCAGTGGGATTAGAGCTAGAGCAGTCATGGTTGTAATGTAGAACTTGGTAGTAAACAATGGATC